ATTTTTTTGCACATAGATATCCAGTTATGCCAGCACCATTTGTAAAAGAGACTGTCTTTTCCCCAATTAACGGACTTTGGGCCTTTGTCAAATATCAACTGCTCATAGGTGGATGAATTTATGTCTGGATTCTCAATTCTGTTCCATTGGTCTATGTATCTGTTAATGTACCAGTACCAGGCTGTTTTGATACCGTGGCGGTATAATAGGTTCTAAAATCAGGTGGTGTGAGACCTCCCACTTTGTTCTTCTTCTTCAGTAATTCTGTACTTATCCAGGGCCTCTTCCTTTTCCATATGAAGTTGGTGATTTGTTTTTCCATCTCATTAAAAAATGTCATTGGAATTTGGATTGGGGTTGTATTGTATCTGTACATCGCTTTGGGTAGAACAGACATTTTCACAATGTTGAATCTTCCTATCCATGAGCAAGGTATATTTTTCCACTTATGTAGGTCTGTTTTGGTTTCTCGCAGTAGTGACTTGTAGTTTTCTTTGTATAGGTCTTTTACCTCTCTGGTTAGATTTATTCCGAAGTACTTTATCTTCTTGGGGGCTATTGTAAATGGTATTGATTTGGTTATTTCCTCTTTGAAGTTCTCTTTGTTGGTGTAGAGGGATCCAGCTGATTTTTGTATGTTTATTGTATCCTGATACTTTGCTGAAATCTTCTATTAATTCCAGTAGTTTTCTTGTGGATTCTTTGGGGTTTTCTGTGTATAAGATCATACATATCATCTGCAAATAGAGATACTTTTACTTCTTCCTTGCCAATTTTGATGCTCTTTATTTTTTTTTCTAGCCTAATTGCTCTGGCTAGGACCTCCAGCACAATGTTAAATAAGAGTGGTGACAAAGGGCATTCTTGTCTGGTTCTGTTCTCAAGGGGAATGCTTTCTAACTCTCTCCATTTAGGATGATGTTGGATGTTGGCTTTGTACAAATGCCCATAATCATGTTGAGGAATTTCGCTTCTATTCCTATTTTGGTGAGAATTTTTATCATGAATGGGTGTTGGACTTTGTCAAATGCCTTTTCTGCATCAACTGATAAGATCATATGGTTCTTGTCTTTTCTTTTATTTATGGGATGGATTACATTGATAGTTTTTCTAATGCTGAACCATCCCTGCACCTGGCATGAATCCCACTTGGTCACAGTGAATTATTTTTTTGATATGTTGTTGAATTCTATTGGCTAGAATTTTGTTGAGGATTTTATCACTCACTAACATTTAGTTTGTTTGTGTCTTTAAGTCTAAGGTTTGTCTCTTGTGGGCAGTATATAGACGGATTGTGTTTTTTTATCCATTCTGCCACTCTCTGTCTCTTTATTGGTGCATTTAGTCCATTTACATTTAGCGTAATTATTGATAGGTATGAATTTAGTGCTGTCATTTTGATGTCTTTTTTTGTGTATTGTTGACAGTTTCTTTGTTCCACTTAATTTTCTATGCTGAGTTGTTTTTCTTTATGTATTTTCTTTTCATCTTTTTCATTGTTGTTGATTTTGTATTTGCTGAGTCTTTATGTTTTTCTTGTTTTTTATTTTGATGTGTAGGATTGTTAGTTTCCTTTATGGTTACCTTAATATTTACCCTTATTTTTCTAAGTTTAAACCTATCTTTTATTTCTTTATATCACCCTGACTTCCTCTCCATATGAAAGATCTATGACCACATTTCTGAGTCCCTCTTTTTTGTTCTCATGTTGTCATCGTTTACATATTGACGTCTCTGTTTTCCTATTTTCTGTGTTTTAGCTTTTATTTTTGTGACTTCCCTATCTGAGTTTATATCTGGTTGTTCTGTCCTGTGTTCTAGTCTTGGCTTGTTATCTGATGTTACTGATTTTCTAACCGGAGGACTCCCTTTAGTATTTCTTGTGATTTTGGTTTGGGTTTTTACAAATTCCCTAAACTTCTGTTTATCTGGAAATGCTCTAATTTCAGCATCATATCTGAGAGGCAGTTTTGCTGGATATAAAATTCTTGGCTGGCAATTTTTTCCTTCAAGTTTTTATATATGTCATCCCATTGTCTTCTTGCCTGCACACTTTTTGCTGAGTAGTCCGAGCTCAGTCTTACTGACTCTCCTTTGTAGATGACTTTGTTTATCCTTAGCTGCTCTTAAAATTCTTTATCTTTGGTTCTGGCAAGTTTGATTATAAAATGTCTTGGTGACGTTCTCCTGGGATCTACCTTGTGTGGGGTTCGATGAGCACGTTGGATAGATATCTTCTTATCTTTCATGATATCAGGAAGTTTTCTGCCAGCAAATCTTCAACAATTCTCTCTGTATTTTCTGTTATCCCCCCTGTTCTGGTACTCCAGTCACTCATAGGTTATTCCTCTTGATAGAGTCCCACATAGTTCTCAAGGTTTCTTCATTTTTTTAAATTCTTTTATCTAATTTTTCTTCAAACAAGTTGGTATCAAATGCTTTAAGGAAGAAGTTATTTTTAAGTTATCTGAACTATTTATTACAGTAAATCTGGCAATATTTGGCAATGCTTTATTAGCTGCTACTTACATTATTTATAGATGAAGTGTAGAAAATTATTCTTGATATATTTCTTGTACTTCTTTTAACCAAAAATCATATTAACCACCACGATCATTCACTTTGTTAATCATATTTATGTTCCAACTTAATTTTCTTTAACTCAAATTTATCCTCAAAGTGTGAAAATTTGTATCACTACCAAACAGTGTTCACAAGGACACTCAAATTTGTGTGCTACCACTTCTGAGGTCAGTTCCCACAAGGTAATTTCCAAACATGTGTTGTTCAAACTGAAATAAGAGCAAATCTTCAAAAATAACTAATCTTAGCCACTTTCATTTGTTATGGTCCAAACCCGTGCTGTCCAATATGGTAGCATCTAGTTGCAGGTAGCTATTGAACACTTGAAATGTAGGTAGTACAAACTGAGATGTGCTGTAAGTGTAAAATGTTATTGCTGTTGTTATGTGCTGTTGAGTCAATTCCAACTCATAGCGACCCTACAGGACAGAGTAGCACTGCTTTATAGGGTTTCGAAACAGCAGCTGGTGTATTCGAACTGCCAATCTTTTTTTGACTAGCAGCCAAGCTCTTAACCATTGCACCACCAGGGCTCCAAGCGTAAAATACATATAAGATTTCAAATATTTGCAGGAAAAAAAATTAAAAATATTTCATTAATATCTTTTCATATTTGATTATACATTGAAATGACAATATTTTAAAGATATATTGAATTGAATGATTAACATTAATTTTCATTTGGTTTTTTTTAATGTAGAAAATTTTAAATTACATATGTGACTTGCATTGTATTTCTATTTGTACAGTACTAGTTGCTATGAGTCGGAATTGACTCACTGGCAATGGGTTTGTTTTTTGGTTTAGTCTGAAGCAATGGAGCCCTGGTGGTGCAGTGGTTAAGAGCTACAGCTGCTAACCAAAAGATCGGCAGTTTGAATCCACCAGCTGCTCCTTGGAAACCCTATAGGGCAGTTCTACTCTGTCCTAAATCGACTCGACAGCAATGGGTTTGGTTTTGGTTTTAATCTAGTGCAGTACTTTTCAAACTGTAATAAGAATCATCTGGGCAACTTATTAAAATGCAAATAATGGTTCAGTTAGGTCTGGAATATGGCTTAAGGTTCTGAATTTCTGACAAGTTCCCAAATGATGTTAATCTACTATTCTCCAGACTACAATTTGAGTAGCAAGGGACTAAATAATCTCTCAGGGCCATATCAAATTCATGTTTATATAACAAAGCAGGGGTCAGCAAACTACTGCCTGTGGGCCAAAACTGGCCTACCATCTGTTTCTGTAAATAAAATTTTATTGGAACACAGCCACACCCATTTGTTTACATATTATCTGTGGCTGCTTTTGCTCTACATGGGCAGAAGTTAAGTAGTTGTGACAGAGACTCCATGGCCTACAAGGTATAAAATATTTACTACCTTGTCCTTAACAGAAAGTTTGCTGTAATAAAGCCTCATCTTGTATTAAAACCTATTGTTTTTTTAAGAGGCATTTAACTAATTTTTTACAGCACACGCACGTAATACACCAAAATAATAAAACTATATTTGTACTGAAATACTATAGACACACTATTCCTCAAAGTATGATCTGGGGACGACTTGCACAGAATCACCCTTTAGGACCTTCTTTAAAATTCTGATGTATGGATTTCCTCCAGACCTAGTGAATCAGACTCTTAGAGGTGGGCTCTAGGAATCTTCATTTTTAACAAGCTTCCAAGGCTGATTCTGATGCACTCTAAAATTTGTAAACAACTCCCCTAGAGTTTGTTAGATTTTCATCTAAAGCACAGTGGCCTTTTCCTGCACTCATCTGAAGAAGTGTTATTTTAACAAGATTTTGATATCAGTAAAGAATCAAGACATACCTTCTCTGGTGGATGGTTAGCTATGAGGGCTGTAGCCCTCTCAGTAAATACATTTGTTGAATACATATTTTTATATCCAGCTGCAACTTCTTCACCATCTCGAAAATCAAGAGCACATCGTGTGACATTCAGGGCATCAATTAATGTGCAACGCTCATGGGAATAGTAATCTTCACTACCTAGGAGATATCCTGTAACAAGAATAGAAGATGAGTCAGCATAGCATAAAACTTGTTAAACAAACTAATGTTTCAGCATTTAATTGCCTAATGCAACTGATTACCTGTGATGAGGCTAATCAAATGACAAGGCTAATCAGAGCACCATTTCTTAACATCTCTATATAGGGCTGCTATGAGTCTGCAGTGAGTTTGATTTTTGATTTTTACATCTGATAGTCAGAGGCATTAAAATGTTATTGTGTAAAAATTCAGATCCTTTCCTCACTTAAGTCTTTAAAACACAAGCTCTATCATATAACTGTCAAAGCATATGGTTGCTTCCAATTAAATATGCTTAGAAAAAAGATCAGAGTTCAAATCCACTAACAATGATTAACGTATTAGTCTTTGCAAGCTATCTAATGGCAAAAAACAATATATGACGTGATTTGTTACAAGTTTTTACTATGAGGTGATCATGTAAATAAACACAGGACTCAAATAATGTTGTTCTTACATTCTGAGACTAGCTTCAAGGTTATTTATGGAAACAGCTCTAGGAGGAATCATCTTTAACTAGATACTGACACCCACTGGTAGAAAACACAAACCTTTCTAAACAGAGGATCTCCAGACATAATGTAAAAAGAGTCAAAAGACTAAACTAAAATGCAGCACTGAAATGAGATCTTTACCTACAATGATCTCTACTTCTCCCCAAATTTAAATGGTATCTACTGCCTATCCCACCATCTAGACTTAAAAATAGAAGAAAATAGTTTTCTCAACTAATAGCAAATGTTTTGTATTTTCCTAAAATATTAAAATAAGCTGTGCTGTATATTGTATGGTTCCATATATATGAAATGTTCAGAATAGGCATCTATAGAGACAGAAAATGGATTAGTGATTGCCTAGGGCTAGAGGGACTGGGGGGAAATGGGGAGTGACTGCTAATGGGTACGGGGCTTCATTTTGGGGTGATGAAAATGTTCTAAAATTAGATTATTGTGATGGTAGCACAATCCTGTGAATTTATTTTAAAAAATTGAACTGTACACTTTAATTGAGTGAACTGTATGGAGTAAGAATTGTACCTCAAGAAAGCTGTTAAAAAGAAATAAGCTGTGCTGGACTCATAGCTATTTCCTGACAAATACTGCTTATTAACCTAAAAATGAGGATGATAAAAATGGCCCAGCCCTTTTCATAGTCTGAAATTTTCCCTATAATCACAATTAAGAGTTTTACATAGCTTCTATAATAAATGAATTCATTTTTAATTAGTTACTATTTTTCCCAGGAGCCCTGGTGGTGCAGTGGTTAAGCACTGGGCTGCTAACCTAAAAGTCGGCAGTTTGAACTCACCAGCCACTCTGCAGAAGAAAGATGTGGCAGTCTGCTTCCGTAAAGATGTAAGGCCTTGGAAATTCTATGGAGCGGTTCTACTCTATCCTACAGGGTAGCTATGAGTTAGAATCAACTCGACGGCACTGAGTTTGTTTGGTTTTTTTTTTGCTCCCTTCCCATGATGTAATCAATTCAAAATCCTGAATATAATTAATATCTTGGTCTTAAGCTAACTTTTCAATATAATTTTTAATCCTACGTATATAAAAGAAACAAATCTGATGGGTTTGCTAATTAATATGTAATTGAGAAAGAAACGTATTCATAAAAATAATTTCACCCATTGTATGGGTGATTAGTGAGGATAGGACACTGAGATTTCATTTTGGGTTTTTAATAACTGCTGGGTGTTAGGACTTGAGGAAATCACTTTAGGTTCTGCCTTTTTAGGCTGGATTCTCTAGAGAAGCAAAATCAGTAAAGCATATAAATACATATATAGAGAGAGAGATTTATATCGAGGAAATGGCTCATGCGGTTGTAGAGGCTGTAATGTCCCAGGTCCATGGGTCAGGGAAGAGGCTTCTCCTGATTCACGCAGCCACAAGGGATGGTGAACCCAAGATCAGCAGGCTGGAGAGCAGGGCTGTTGCTCACAGGCTGTGAAGATCGACAAATCCCAACATCGGCAGGCAAGACCGCAGGAAAGCTGCTAGCTCAAGTCCCAAGAACCGGAGGTCAGGTTAACAGGAGCCAGCTGCAGGATCCAGAACAAGCAAAAGCCCCGGAGCCCCTGCCTGAACATCTGCCCACACTCAGTGCAAGCCATACACCCAAGGAAACTCCCGTTCAACTGACTGGCTACTCACAGCAGATCCCATCATGGGGGTAATAACGTAGCAAATCTCAATAGGAAAGTGATCACAACGTTATATGATTGCCACAACACTGAGAATCATGGCCCAGCCAAGTCGACACACAATCTTAACTATCACATTCCACCCGTTGTCAATTTGGCACCTATAAACATCTCCTTAAACCATACATAATCTCTGAATAAAGACAATTAAGTCATACTTGGGCCTAAAGTGATACAACAAACAAACATACAACCGAAAATGCAATAGCCCTGTTTACATCTTATATTTTATAAGTGAAGAAAACAAAAATTTTTTTCTTTTTTTTATTGTTGTGCTTTAAGTGAAAGTTTATAATCCAAGTTAGTCTCTCATACGAAAACTTATACTTACATGAAAACAAAACTATTCGATGCACAGATACAAAGCAGAAATACACATAACAATTACAGTCCTCATTCCTACAACTGATCGTGTGGCCGTAACTGGTATTTAGAACTACCTTCTTCCAACACCCATTCCATATTCCCTTTGCCCTCAGCAAGCACCACAGCTGGTCGTGGTTCTTTGCCTGGCGGGGTGATCCAAACCTTCATTCCTGAAGGGTCTGGGCCATTAGCAGTCATGTCAGAATTGGGTTGCTGTAATTTTCCATTGACTCTAATCACAGGGCATGGTAGTACTAGGAGACACACTAAGGGATCTCCTGCATTCCAGACATACTCTTCTTTACCTCCATTATGTAATATCAATCTGATTTCCTCTTGGTAATCAGGATCAATCACACCAGCCAGTATAATAACTCCCTTCTTTGCCTGCTGATCCAGTAGTATAAGGAGCTCAAAGATGCCAGGTGGCATTCTTAGCTTCCAGTTCAATGAAATCAGTGATGTGTCTCCAGGTGGGAGCATTTCTCCCTTTGGAACTAAGACCTCTAGACCTGCAGAACAAAGGGTCACAGGGACAGGAAGCAAAAATCTTGCAAGTGGGTCACTAGGGGTAATAGTGAGTGGTGTCACTCCCATTTCCACCCCTTGATTCCGGGACCCATGAATCCTGGCTATGGGAGATACAGCACCATATACTGGACGCTGGTTCAGAGCATATACAGCCTCCTGGAGAACACTGTCCCAATCCTGCAAGGTATTGCCACCTAGCTGGTGCTACAACTGTGTCTTTAGGAAGCCATTCCATCATTCTATCAAGCCAGATGCTTCAGGATGATGGGAACATGGTAAGACCAGTGAATTCTATGAGCCTGGGCCCAGTGCCGCATTTCATTTGCTGTGAAGTGGGTCCCTTGATCCGAGGCAATGCTGTGTGGGATACCATGACGGTGGATAAGGCATACTGTAAGTCCATGGATGGTAGTTTTGGCAGAAGTATTGCATGCAGGGAAAGAAAATCAATATCCAGAGTAAGTGTCTATTCCAGTAAGGACAAAACACTGCCCTTTCCATGATAGAAGTGGTCCAATGTAATCAACTTGCCACCAGGTTGCTGGCTGATCACCTTGAGGAATGGCGCCATATCAAGGACTCAGGTTTGTCTCTGCTGCTGGCAGATTGGGCACGCAGCAGCGGCTGTAGCAAAGTCAGCCTTGATGAGTGTAAGTCCATGTTGCTGAGCCCATGCATAACCTCCATACCTGCCACCATGGCCACTTTGTTCATAAGCCCATTGAACAATGACAGGAGTAGTTGGCAAAAGAGGATGAGTGGTTTCCATATAATGCATCATCCTATCCACCTGACTGTTAAAATCCTCCTCTGCTGAGACTTCCGGCAAAATGGCACTCTAGGCAGAAGCACCACGCTGTCCCTCCAAAGCAAAGATCCGAAAAACTAAGCCAAACAGAGAAAACAGCAATCCTGAAACCCTAAAACATCAAATGAAGAGATAAAGAACTCAGCCAAGCACCAATGGAGTGAGAAAACTGACAGAGAATGGAGAGCGAGGAGAGATTTATACAGTGGTCCCTTATCAGCTAACGCAGCGCGGATCCGCCACTGTGGACTGCTATCAGAGACCAGCAAATAGGGGGTATGAGAAAGCAGCTTCACGGGGCTTCCAGCAGGAGACAGAACTGGTAATTCGCGATATACGATTTCCCACCCCCCACCCTTCGTCACCCCCACTCAGCCTCCTCTGCTTCCTGCGGCCACAGTCTCTTGTCCGAGAAGCACCGGCTGCTTGGATTCCACCCACCCGCACTGGCCAGCTCTCTAAGTGCCATTTGCAGGCTGCTTGTGTTGCTTTTTTTCTGCTTCTTTTGATTTCTTCCTTACCTAGCAACACTTCCCCTCCTTTCGCTCAAATACCTGGCTCCATGCGCCATCTTTGCTTCTTCCTGAGTGGCTGCGGAGCTCCGTTCGAGTGTGGATCTGCTTCCCAGACTAGGCTGCCATGCTGGTGGGATCCCGGGGCTTTTGTTTGTTTGTTTCTTTTGAATTGTTTGTTTTCTTTTCCTTTTCTTGAGTTGGGGGCCCGTTCTGGCTGAGCAGGGCTGCGTGGCTTGGAACCTATCCCCTTGGCTTAAACAGACACGCAAAGGAATCCCTGAGGGCATTTCTTTTCTCATGGGTTTATTTTTTTTTCTTTTTCTGTTTTTTGGGGGGCTTTTCTTGTTCTTTTTTTTTTTTAATTCGTTTTGTTTTCTTTTCCCTCTTTTTCCCTTTTTGTCTTTCTTCATTACGCAGTTTCTTGTCTTTCTATACCTTCCTACTCTTTCTGTTCCCTGAATACCTGGTGCTGAATAGCTCTACGCCTTCTAGCCAGGCTGTACTGCAACACCTGAAACAACTTCCCCAGACCTCATAGCTG